TGGGCACTATGGGGTAATTTAGCATGGCCAATCCACCCTAACCTGCATACCTTTGGACTGTGGGAGGCAACCAGAGCACCCAGAGGAAACCCACGCAGACACAGGGAGAATGTGCAAACTCCACACAGATAGTCGCCCGAGGGTGGAATTGAACCCAGGTTCCTGGCGCTGTGAGGTATCAGTGCTAACCACTGAGCCGAGAAGTAAGTTTTTTTTTAGCAAAAGCGTGGTAGGTGCCAGGAATGCACTTCCAGAGGGAGTGGTAAAAGCAGGTGCAATAGCAACATTTAAGCAGCACTTTGACAGATATATGAATAGGCAGGGATTAGAGGGGTACGCCCCGTGTGGACGCAAAAGGTTTTTAGTTTAGAAAGGCATTACCTATCTGTACAGGCTGAGTGGGCCAAAGGGCCTGTTTGTGCTGTACTTTTGTTTTGGTCTTTGTGAGTGGTTTTGGAGGGGGACTTGCAGGGGGCGGTGTTCCCATGCACCTGCTGCCCTCTGCTTTCTAGGGTGCCCAGGCTGTGAATTTGGAAGTTGGTGTCAACTTAGTAAGTTGCTGCAGTGCATCTTGCAGCCGGCGCACCCTGCTTCCACTCTAATAGGGGAAAAGCAAGGTGAAGGTAATGGATGTGGTGCCAGTCAAGCGGGGGCTGTTTTGTCCTGGGTGGTGTCGATCTTCTTGAGTGCTATTGGAGCTGCACCCAGCCAGGCAAACGGGGAGTGTTCCATCACACTCCTGACTTGTGCCCTGTCAATGGTTGACTTTGGGGAGTCAGGAGGTGAGATACATATTGCAGGATTCCTAGCGTTTGACTTGCCCTGTAGCCACACAATTTGTGTGGGTAATCCAGTTCAGTTCTAGTCAATGATAATCCCCAGTATGTTAATAGTGAGGGATACAATGACGCTAATGCTGCTAACTATCAATGGCTGATACTTAGATTCTCATTTGTTGGTGATGGTCATAGCCTGTCATTTGTGTGGTGTGAATGTAACTTTCCACTTGTCAGCCCAAGCCTGGATATTGTCCAGATCTTGTTGCATTTGAACATGGACTGCTTCAGTATCTGAGGAGTCGTGAATGGTGCTGAACATTGTGCAATTATCAGCAAACATCCCCACGTCTGACCTTATGATGGAGGGAAGGTCATTGATGAAGTAGATGAAGATGGATGGGCCTTGGACACCATCCTGAGGAAATCCTGCAGAGGTGTCCTGGAAGTGAGCTGACTGACCTCCAACATCCACAAACATTTTGTTATGTGCCAGGTCTGACTCTAACCAGCAGAGAGTTTGCCTCCTGATTCCCATTGACTCCAGTTTGTTCAGGCTCCTTGGTGCCACACTCGGTCTACTATGGCCTTGATGTCAGGGATAGCCACACTCACTTTTAGTGTTCAACTCTTTTATCCATGCTCAGGCTGCAATGAGGTCAGGAGTTTCACAAATTGATGAAACTGACTCAAAACATTAACTCTGTCCACTCTCCACAAATGCTGTCAGACCTGCTGTGTTTTTCCAGCACTTTTTGTTTCTGTTTTTAAATTTCCAGCATCCATAGTATTTTGTTTTTATTACAAGTGTTGAGTGGCATCATAGAATGCAAACTGAGTGTCAGTGAACTGGTTACAATTGAGCAATAGCTGTTTGATAACACTGTCAACAACACCTTCCACTCCCTTGGTGAGATTTGGCTGGGATGGATACATCCTGACATTGTGCACAGGACACAGTAAATTGTCCATCTGTTGGTTAGATGCCAGTGTTATGGCTGTACTGGCTACGGGCATGGCAAGTTCATGGATTTGTGGATTCAGAACAGATTTAAAAGCTCAAAACTGGGCATCCATGAGCTGCTGGCTGGCAGAAACAGTGGAATTGTATTCAACCAGAATCTATAATCCCATGGCCCACTCTATCATTACCATCCAGCTGGACGATCAACCCAAGTCATATGAAGCATATATGGGAGCATGCCAAAGCCTCTGAAAAATAGTGTCAACTCAAAACATCAACAGGGTGGATGTAGGTACCATTACAATGTTTAAAAGGCATTTGGATAAGGACATGAACAGGAAAGATTTGAAGGGATCTGGACCAAGAGCAGGCAGGTGGGACTAATTTCGTTTGGGATTATGGTCAGTATGGACTGGTTGGACCAAAGGCTCTGCTTCTGTGCTGTATGACTCTGACTCTGAGACAACTTGCTTGACAAACAGCAGAAGTAGCATGTGATATAGAGCTAAGTGATCTCACAACCAGATCAGTGCTCTGCAGTCTTGCCACATCCAGTTGCAATGTTTACTGGATGTTTAAACACTGAACAGGAGCAGGAAACTGCAGAAATATCCTCATCTTCAATGATGAGAGAGCCCAGCAAGTTGGTGCAAAAGGCAAGCTGAAGCATTAGCATCTATCAGCAGGTGGAAGTGCCAAGTAGATGATTCATTTGAACCTCCTCCAAGGAGCCCTGGCAATGGGAATCAGAAGGAGATTACACTGGTTGGAGTCATCCTTAGCACAGAGGAAGATGGTTCTGTTGCACACAATATGTCCAACCACAAATACAGAGTGTCATGCCTGTGAGAGAGGTGGCCATTCCAGAGTCAGTGTACTACAGCAAGAAGTTTCCATCTCCAAGGTACAGGCCTCACCGTGGCTGCTAAGATCCATTAACATGCAAGAAGTAAGTCTCCCAGGTTTTTGAAGAGCCCTTAAGAGGACAGGTAGCCCTGGAGCTAGGAGGTTGAGGTGACCTTTATAGAAGTTTATAAAATCATGAGGCGTATAGATAGAGTTGATAGTAGTTGAAATCCCCCACCCTAGGGAAAAGACAAGACTAGGGGGCACATTTGTAAGGGGACAGGAGAAAGATTTTTAAAATCTGAGGAGCAAATGTATTACACAGAGGGTGGTACACTTCCTGAAGAAGTGGTGGATGTGGGTACAACTACAACATTTAAAAGACATTTGAATAAGAAAGGTTTGGAGGGATATAGGCCAGGAGCAGGTAGGTGGGACTAGGTTAGTTTGGGATTGTTTGGCATGGACTAGTCAAACCAAAGGGTCTGTTTCCATGCTCTGTGACTCTATAACAGGAACAAGACACAATTTAAACAAAATGGGGATTGTCATTCTCCATTCTGTCAGTTTCATCTCCGCAGGAATTCCTCAGGTGGGGGGTGTCCTATGCTCAACTGTCTTCAGCTGCTTCATCAAAGTCTCTTTTCTTTCACCATCAAGTCAGAAGTGCAGATATTTGCTGATAATTGCACTTGGTGCTCTATACAAGATGAACTGCATCAATTTTTCAAGCCTCCTTCAACTGCATCTTCCAAACCCACAACATCTACTAGCTGAAGAGCAGCAGATACTTGGGAACTCCATCCTCTGTAAATTCCCCTCTAATCCACTCACCATCTTGACTTAGAAATATATTATCACTCCTTCAGAGTCACTAGGTTAAAATCCTAAGACTCCCTTCCCAGCAGCGTTGGCTGTGCGTGCCACAGATCAATTGCAGTGGTTCAAAAGCACCTCACCACCACCTTCTCTACAGCAATTAGGGATGGGCAAGAAAATGCTGGTCTTTTCAGCAACTCTTAATATCTCTTGAGGTAATAGAATTTTTGGGTTTTTTTTAGAAAAAGTGAGTATCAAGCACAATTTCAAAACTGACAGATGACTCACAGCTTCAAAGTCATTTAAACAGTGAGGAGAAAAACATTTAAACTTCAAAGGGCACAGATAGGTTGGTCAAATGGATAATCAAGTCTTGTCCTGTAGCTTCTCCTGCCAGGGGCTCTGCTGTCGTCATACATCACCCTCATCTGCCTCTCTCTCACTCCACTGTAGCTCGATTACAATTGATCTGCGACGTTTATCATCCAGCAATGCCCCTTCTTTCTGCTGCTGCCTACTTTGCCCTTTACTAGAAATGTTTGTTGTTTTCCAGTTTTGATCAAACCGCTGAAATTTAATGCAAAGCAGTGGAAGTGGAGTTATTTTCGTAGGGAGAACATGGCAAGGCGGTGAGGAACAAAGGATATGGCAGGTGCAAGACCAGAAGGATCTGGGAAATACATCCACAAATCACTGAATGTTGCAGGGCAGGTTGTGTGAGGGGTTAATGATTCATATGGGATCCTGGGCCTTGTAA